GCACCCTGCCCCGCCAACCACATCCCTTTGCCCATCCCATCCCTGTGCCATCCCTATGCCTCTGCCCACCCCCTGCCCACACCATTCCCTTCCCAGCCCCACACCATTCCCTACCCACGGTAACTCTGTGCCAACACCAGCTCCCCACTGTCACCGCTGCTGCACCCGCACGGCCTCAACACCTTCCTGCCCTGTGCCCCATCACCCCAATGTCCCTGCTGTGCCCATGCTCTCACTGTCACCACCCCAGCACTTCTCCCCCACCCTGCACCCAGACCCTGGTGAATAAAGGGATGGGGCCAAGTCCTGCCCTTCACCGCCTGGTGCTGGAGCACTCTGGGGATGGGGGCACATAAGCAAGGCTGGGGACAGTGCACCAGAGTTCTGCCCCATGGGTGATGCCCATATGACGTGCCCAGAGACTGGCAGCACCCATGGGTGCTGAGGTGGCCAAGCAGCCCTGGTCCTTATGCAAGCACCGACTGACACATTCCCAGCTCCCCAGTGTCCTGCATCCCCAAGGATCCCTCATCCTGGTGTCTGCATGTTACCCATGTCCTCAGTGTGCCCAAGGCCCTAATGTCCCCCAAAACACCCCTAAGGTTCCTCTACACACCCAGGGCCATCCAGACCCCAGCCCCTCGGGCTGCTTTCCTGCCCAAACCTCCCTCCCTCGTTGGACTCCCATAACTAGTGCTGGGGCCAATTGTTTATCCCATTATCCCTCTCAGGAGCAGCAGCCTGGGCACACCACAGGGTTATTCCCCTTAGTGCTCACAGCCAATGCTGGGAACATGGGAGCTTTGCCCTCCCTGCACCAAAACACCAGCATTTCACCCCAATTCCTGGCCGGGACCACACATCCATCACCAAAGAAAAGCCCTTTTATTGTTGCTGGGAGGGACAGGGAGGAGCAAGCAGTGGGGAAAGAGCCCACAGGGCTGCAGGGGAATGGGCACCCCCAAACCCATCCTCTCCTTCTACTTCTAAAGCAACACCAGGGAAGAGACTCAACAAGGGGAAGGTGGCAGCTGGGCTGGGCTCTTCCTTGTTCACAGTGAATTTGGGGTGATTGGGGGGTCCCACACTCATGGGTTTTGCTAAGAGACAGACCCAAACCCCCACTTTGGCCTTGCTGGGTCCCCTGCACGGGAGCTCATTCACACACCCCGGAGTGTTGTTTGGGGACAGGGAAGAGAAGAGCAAACCCCTGTGGTGGGGACAGCACAGGGGGGTGCTCATGGCGAGTTTCGGGGTGCTCCAGGGGTGGTGGCAACACTGCAGAGGCAGGTCCCATCTCTGCAGGTGATGTTAAACCCCGTGAGATGCTAAAATCAATGCATGGGCCTCGCCAGCGAGCCAGAATGGGGAAAGCTTCTCCGCTGTGGCCACAGGGTCGGAGGGAGCATAGAGGGGAGGCAACTTGTTCCCTGAAAAAGCCCCGGGAGGGATTTGTCATCCCTTATCCTTGAGCCCTGCAAGAGAATTCAGAGCCCAAACCAAAGGAGGGAGCACTGCAGGGGCTCGGGATGGGATCAGACCCTTCATCCCAACCACGGGCCGGCAACGGGGGACGGGAGAAGGGAGCAGTGCCGGCGTCAGCCCTGCCAGGAACGGGGCGATGGCACCGGCTTGGGGAGAGAGTCAGAGTCAGAAGAGGAGGAATCAAAGGCAGAGCCGTTGGGAGGAGCGGAAGCAGCCCGGGAGGGAGCCCCACGGCCCCTCACTCGATCAGCTCCACGTAGTTGGCTGGGAACATGCCGAAGTGGCCGTCGGGACCGTACCCACGCCACCAGCCCTCATCGATCATCTCGATGTTGGTGATGATGTTCTCCGGATCAAAGGAGATCTCAGTGTCATCAGCTGGAATGAGACAGCGAGGGAGGGGAGGGAAGACAGGGAAGTGAGAAACAGATGTCAGGGGAAAAAGAGAGAGAAGCCAATGGAAGAAAAAGAGAAGCCAGAGGGAAGCCACAGAGCTGCTGCGAGGGCTGGAGCAGCTCTGCTCTGGAGCCAGGCTGAGAGAGCTGGGCTGGGGCAGCTGGAGAAGAGAAGGCTCCTGAAGGGGACACCTTAGAGCAGCTCCAGTGCCTAATTTTTTTTTTGACTGTAGGGACAGGACAAGGGGTGATGGGTTCAAACTGAAACGGGGGACTTAGGTTGGATATAAGGAAGAAGTTCTTCACCATGAGAATGGTGGGACACTGGAAGCGGTTGAAGGGAGAAGCTGTGGCTGCGCCAATCCTGGCAGTGTTCAAGGCCAGGTTGGACACAGGGGCTTGGAGCAACCTGCTCTAGTGGAAGGTGTCCCTGCCCAGGACAGGGGCTGGAGCTGGAGGAGCTTTAAGCTCCCTTCAACCCAAACCATTCCAGCTCCAGTCTGGGTGTAAGAACCTCTATCCAGCAGCATGATGGGTGATGTCTCTGGTCCAGCCCTCTGGGAACAGACTGGACCCAGCAACCCCCCCTCCCAGGGTCAGAGGGAAAGCTGGACTCTGCAGGTCCTACCAGCCTGGTAGTCGTAGAGCGCCCGGGCACAGATCCCCTTCCCCGTCAGGTCCGGCTGCTGGTACTCCACCGGGTACTCGTATTTGGCACCATCCACATGTTCCTTTGGAAAGGAGAGAGACAGACAAGGGGTTACCAGTGTGAGCGATGCAGCTCGGGCTTTGGTAGCACAGCAAGGGTCTGCAGAGCGGGCTCTCAGCACCCCGACACATGGGGTGCACCTCACAGCCCCACTCAGCTCCCTGGGTGGACCAGGAGGTGTTGAACTGCAGGAGGAAACAGTGGGAAGGAGGTTGCAGCACCCTGCAGCACCCAAAGACTTAGAGCAGCCCCCTGAGGCTCAGAGCACTCTGTGCACGAGGTCCCAGATGCCCTCCTGCCTCTGGGAAGGTCACACCAAGTGTCTCTGCTGGGAGATAAAGGAGCATCACAACCAGAAACACCAGAGACCAGCAGCGGACACCCCTCTGGAAGCCAACCCACATCCCTCGGGATCTCTGCTGCAGACAGTGGTTCATCACCCCCACGGATACACCCCATGAAGCTGGACCAGCTCCAGTTTCCTCAAGCGATTCTGCCTGAGCCTCAGTGGCTGCTTTTCATTTGCAGAGGAAAGCTGGGGGGCCCCGTAGCCCCAGTCCTGCTCCTCTGGAAGCTGGACACTTCCAGACAAATTTGGGAATGAGAAAATCCAGTATGTTTGAAATGCTGCTGTGTTTGAGAGCCGGGAACGGGCGGATGACTGACGGGGAGGAAACCACACGGCCACCACATCTCCAAGGGAAACAGTGCAGCATGACACAACCCCGCTATTAGACAGTGGAGAAGCTGACAGAGCACACCACGAAGAGCTGGGCTTTGTCTGCTCTGCTGGGTCTGGACGTGCAAAGCAGCAGGAGGAGGAGAAGAGGCTGATGAGAACCTCCCCCCTTATCACCTCCTGGGGCAGTGACACCAGGGCTGGTGACAGGGGCTCAGCACCAGCACCACTCGCTGTTGGCAATGGGAAGGATGCAGCAGCATTCCCATGTGGATGCAGCCCAAGCTCCAGGGTTTCCCACTGATTTTAGCCAAGGGAGCCAGGCTCCAAGCACCGGAGGGTGTGTTTGCACCCAAAGCAGAGAAAGCTCGTAAAAGGGATCGAAACTAATCCTAAAGGATGAGACAAATTCCACCCTCTCTCGCATGAGGATCCTGGCCAGCTCCTGGATGCTCTTTTCCCTGCTGGAGTCCTCTGTGCCCCCCATTGCACCAACCTGAGGGGGCTCTTCATAGATGGCCGAGGAGTCTGGTGGCTCCTCATACAGATTTGCCTCTTCCTCGTGGGAAGCCGGGACACTGGAATTGTACCCAGAGTCTCGTCCTGCGACAGAAACACACGGGATCACACCCTGATGTCACACCAAAACCTCTCCCTGGCCTCCCAGCTCCTGCTCCAGGCTGAAGTGGCACCAAACTCCTGGTGCATGGATGTTCCCTGGCCTCCTGCCCTGCAGGGATGGGTCCAGCAAGGACAAACCCACCCATGGGGCGAGCGGGGGCTTACAGAATGATAGAAAGGACAAGGGCGAGATCCAGAATCTCCACTTGGGAAAGGAACAAGCTTGCTCACGATGAACTATTCCCAAACCTGACAGGGAAGGGCTGGTGCAGAGACCCTGGCCAAGAGCAGCATCTAGTGGTGACTGGGGTAGGCTCGGACAGGGCAGTGAGGAGCCTGGTGAGCTGGGGACAAGGCAGCGGGGATGTGAAGCCACACAAGGACAAGGGAACACCCCCGAGTCACCTCAGCACATGGGGAGACCCTCTGGATACAACCAGCCCTCCTCCAGACTTGCTCTTCCCACACAAGCCTCCAAGAGGACAGAGCATCTCCCCACAGGCAGAGCAAGCTCTTCCTCGCCCGGGGCCCTCTCCCTGCCCTGTCACCCCAGCGAGGGCAGGGAGATGGGCACTGCCAGCCCTGCAACAACAGGCACCAATGCTCTGCCTTCACTGGGATGACAGAACAGCCCTGACTGCTCCACCTGCTCCTGCACAGAGGTAGAAAAGGTCCTTCGCTTCGTCTAAAAGGCATTTTGGAAAGGCCCGAGGGCAAAACTCACATCTGGGGGTGCACGGAGCTGAATTTTAGCCTTTCAGCCAGGAGATGTCCTCATCCCCTCGGCCACTGGGTGTTCTGCTAATCAGAGACTCACAGGCTGCTCTGTGTTGGAAGGGAGCTTAAAGCTCCTCCAGTTCCAACCCCCTGCCCCGGGCAGGGACACCTTCCACTAGAGCAGGTTGCTCCAAGCCCCCGTGTCCAACCTGGCCTTGAACACTGCCAGGGATGGGGCAGCCACAGCTTCTCTGGGCACCCTGTGCCAGCGCCTCAGCACCCTCCCAGGGAAGAGCTTCTGCCTCAGAGCTCATCTCAATCTCCCCTCTGGCAGGTTAAAGCCATTTCCCTTGTCCTGTCCCTACAGGCCCTTGTCCAAAGCCCCTCTCCAGGTTTCCTGGAGCCCCTTTAGGCACTGGAAGGCTGAAGGAGGGAATGCAGGGGCCTCCACACCAGGCAGCAGCCCCAGCATCACACTCCGCCCTTGCTGTCCCTGCCGCCTTGAGACAAACTGCTGGTTTCTGGCCTAAAGATCTGACCCAGAAGCTCAGAGCCTGGCCTCAAGCTGCCCAGTTTTGGGCCTCTGTCAGTGGAAAGCTTTGGGCAGGGGAGGAAGCAAAGCCACGTACCTGCTGTGGGCACCGGCGAGGCTGGAGGCGTCCCCCGGGCAGCAGAGGGGATGAAGGTGGCTGGGGCAGCACCTCGGGCAGGGGACACGGGGCAAGCAGGGCTGGGCACCGACTCCACCTCCTTCTGCAGGAAAGGGCTGCGAAGCTTCCCTAGGGAAGGAGTGGGATGAGCTGCAGGAGCTGGGCCAGCACCGAGGCTTCCAGCCGTGCAGCGACAGCTCCGTGGCCCCAGGGATTTAGTTACTGAGGGGTGTTGCTGGATGCTTTTTGCCTTAGGAGCCCGCTGCTCCGTTAGCCTCCTAAGCAGGATTTTCCAGCTCTAATCCCGGTTGTGGAAAACAAGTTTGTCTCCTGGTTACAGCAGGAGCTGCAGCGCAAAGAAGAAGACGACGACGTGTTTTGGGGGGAGGAAGAGCTTTGAGGAGGATGGGGCCTCCCAGGCGCTGCTCACAAGGCTTCCCACAGGATTTCTGGAGCACCCTGAATTCCAGACATTAGGAGCAGCAATGGGAGGGGTAGGGATCAAACTGGTCCTTTGGCAGGAGGTAACTATCTGCTGTTATCTCCCCCATCTACGCCTCCGAAGGCAAACAAAAGCAAAGCAGGAGAGTTACGAGGCAAACCCAGCACAGCCCTGAACAAGCACCAAGACTTATGAGCCTGCCCTCTGCGCCTGGGTTTTACCAGTGCCAGGGCATTTGTCTTCCTTTCCTCCATTGAAAGCCACCAAACACCAGGGAGGGAAATCCCAAGGGATTTTGTGCTCGTATCACAAAAGTGCTGCTTCCAAACGAACTGCAGGTACCCGGGAGGAGGTCGAGCTGCCTGAAGAGCAGCCATTCACCCATGGTTAGCACGTGATCACGGCTACTTCCTCAGCTGCTTTCAGCTTTGCTTTCTCAGCTTCCTGGTTTCTATCTGACAGATCAGATTGGTTTCTTACAAAAAAGAACATGCTCCTGCTTGGTTCAGGCAGTGGAAACTGGGTGGAATGATCATGGAATCAACCAGGTTGGAAAAGAGCTTTAAGCTCATCAGGTCCAACCATTCCCAGCAGTGCCAAGGCCACCACTAACCCCTGGCACTGAGGCCTCGGCTACCCGGGCTGTGAGCACTTGCAGGGACGGTGACTCCAGCCCTGCCCTGGGCAGCCTGTTCCAATGCCTGAGCACCCTCTGGGCAAGGAATTGTTCCTCAGCTCCAGCTAAACCCTCCCTGGGGCAGCTTG